ACAGCCACATCAATATTTATAGCAGCACAATTCACAATAGCTACACTGTGGAACCAACATAGATGCCCTTCAATAGATGAATGCATTAAAAAAATGTGGCATTTATACACAATGGAATATTACTCAGCACTAAAAAATAACAAAATCATGGCATTTTCAGGGAAATGGATGGCATTAGATCACATTATGCTAAGTGAAGTTAGCCAATCCCTAGAAAACATATGCTGGATGTCTTTTTTGATATAAGGGGGAGCGACTCAAAACAGAGCAGGAAGGAAGAGCATGAGAAGAAGATAACAATAAACAGGGATGAGAGGTGGCAGGGAATGGGAGAGAGAAGGGGAATTGCACAGAAAATGGAAGGAGAACCTCATTGTTATACAAAATTACATATAAGATGGTGTGAGGGTGAAGAAAAAAAAGAGAGAGAAATGTGATACAGTAGATGGGGTAGAGAGAGTTGATGGGAGGGGAGGGAAGGGGAGGGGGGATATGAAGGGTAGCAGAATACAGCAGACACTAGTATGGCTGTATGTATAAACGTGGATGTATAACCAATGTGATCCTGAAATCTATACACGTGGAAAAATAAAAATTGCTATCCCATTTGAATCAAATGTATGATATGTCAAGAACATTGCAATGTTTTGAGCAACTAATAAATAAATAAAGGTATTGTTAAAAAAAGAAAACAGTCTTGTTAATACAATGTAAAAATATAGGTTTCATAATAAACTTATTTTGTATAGAAAGAAGGGAAGAGAGAGGTGAACTCATTGAAAATTGAAGTTTACCTTACTATTTTGTACAATCTCCATTTTATTTAATTTTTTTATTGGTTGTTCAAAACATTACAAAGCTCTTGATATATCATATTTCATACATTAGATTTAAGTGGGTTATGAACTCCCATTTTTACCCCAAATACAGATTGTAGAATCACATCGGTTACACATGCACATTTTTACATAATGCCATATTAGTAACTGTTATATTCTGCTACCTTTCCTATCCTCTACTATCATCCTCCACTCCCATCTTCTCTTTCTACCCCATCTACTGTAATTCATTTCTCTCCTTGTTTTTTTTTCCCATTCCCCTCAGAACCTCTTATATGTAATTTTGTATAACAATGAGGGTCTCCTTCCATTTCCATGCAATTTTCTTT